AAAAAACACCATCAGAAGTTCCCATTTATCAGCAATAAACTATAAAAACAGACACAATCAACTTCCAGACGATCCTCAACAGGATCTTCTGCAGCTCAGTCGGTAAAAAAACCCAAATATCAGCTTTAAACTGTGATAGTTGATCAAAAATCACTTCTACTGTTATTTAAAAATTATCCAGAAATGAAGCGTTTATATGAAACTAAGACTTTCTGTCATAACTTTGACTTTCTCTTCTGTAATTCTGACTTTTTCATATCGACTCACTGTATCAGTAGATTTATAATGTTCTTAGATTACATTTGTCTTTGTTAGAAAACAGACATGCTGCAAAAAAAAATACAGCAAAATATTGTAATGTTAAAAAAACAGCTTTCAAAAAATGGTAAAAAGCAACGGCAACATCTATGAAATAATTCTATTTATGGTGGATTTAAATATAGGAAATAGGTGCAGTGATACAATCACACATTGTGAAAGAACAAATGACCATTTTTTGATTTTTGAAGCAGATTTTTAAAAAATAAATTAATATTTTTTGTGATTTTATTAGATATTATCTGTAATTTAACAAAACATGGTAAAACATCAACAAAATATTTACTATTTTAAATCCTAATATACAGAGTTTTATTTTATTTTTAAATAATTTTAAATAAAAGCAAATATCAGTAAAATAATTAGATTTTTAGTAGATTTACGAGTAAAAAAAAATGTAATTTTACTGATTTTTACAGATTACAGATTGTTGATGTGGTTAATGTGTAAATTCATGTTTTTGTGATTTTATTAGATATTATCTGTAATTTAACAAAACATTGTAAAACATCAACAACAACAAAATATTTACTATTTTAAAATCCTAATACACTGAATTTTATTTAATTTTTAAATAATTTTTAAATAAAAGCAAATATCAGCAAAATAATTAGATTTTTAGTGGATTTAAGAGTAAAAAAAACAATTTCACAGATTTTTACAGATTATGAATTGTTGATGTGGTCAATGTGTAAATTAATGCTTTTTTCTACTTTATTTTTTTTTTTACCACCGGTTATTTATTATTAATAAATTATTCCGTTAAAAACAGAATTGTGTATTTTTTCCAGCACTGTCGTCTTAAAGGCTAAACCAGGCTAATTAACGTTAGCATGTAGCACCGCGTCATTGGATTTAAAAGCACCTGTTTCCAGTTTATTCTGCATTAATATATGATTGATTGTACGTTTCCTCTGCAGCAGCTTCGCATCATTTTTAGAGGATAAAATTCCTCCACTGGTCCCAGTTTGACGCGATATCAAAGCGTCAGAAGCAGCTCGGCGACGTCCCGCTGCCGTTTCTTCCTGGTAAGTCGGAGCTGAACCGACCAGCTGAGCTAATCTGAGCCCAGATAAAGTCCAGACGGCCGGCTGCGTGAAGAGGCCGTTATCTGGCCAGAGCACACGAAGCCGGCGCGCACTTTAAAGCCGCAGCTGTAAACAAACAGGACGCACAAAGAGAGCGGACGCACGGCAGATAGCGGGCGGCGCTATCGCAGCGGGAATTATCGCACCAGTTATCTTCTATAAACCATTTGGGAAACTCGACATTCAGGCCGAGAGGCTTTTATCTCCTCGGCGGCTTTTAGTCGACGGATTCTTTATTTGATTCAGAAGAAATAAAAGGCTGAAATTAAAACGCAGATTAATCTTTTTTTATCTGATGTTTTTTTTCCCCCTTTTGGCACCAGAACAATAGACGAGTGAAGTCGGAGCGGCGGCGAAGAAACCACATGAAAGAAAAGACAAAGAGCAAAGTGGTTTCTTGTCCTGCAGGTTTCCTCGTGACCCTGATCCACCTCCACGGCACAGAAACACCGACGGAGGCCAATCGATCAAACAGTCTCTAACAGAAATGGAAATATTAGCCGTTTGTCTCCAAAAACTGAATTTAAAGATGAACCGTGACCATTTTCAAGCCTCAGATTTTTGTTTTTTTGAGGCATCAGTCTGGATTCACTTCATCGTCTGTTTTCCTCTAAACGTGACCATAGTTTAGCAGAACAACGCCGTCCTGTGTCGAGGGAGGCTTCAAACTAGCAAATGAGACCATAAGCTGGTCAGGAAAACGTTCACAGAGGAAGCAAACAAAGTCAGAACTCTGCTCGTTTTCTATGTTCTGGATGGACAACTGAGGGAACATCCAAACTTCTACATGTTCCAGAAACGTGGCTTCACCAGAGCAGAACAGAACTATATGAACGCAGCGAACAGAACCGGAGCAGAACAGAACTCACACGGTCCAGTCTGAACACAGGACATGAGACAGACTGGAGAGGATCAGCTGCTGGATGCTGAGGCTGGATCACCCCTTCATCACCCTCATCATCCTCATCCTCCTCATCATCATCATCATCTTCGTCATCTTTGTCATCATTGCCATCCTCATTGTCTCATCCTCATCATCATTACCATCATCATCTTCATCAGTCATCCTCATCATCGCCATTATGCTCAACTTCATATCATCATCAAAAAACATCATCTTCATCATCATCCTCATCATCTCATCCTGATTATCATCACCATCATCATCACCACCATCCTCCCCTTCATCATCCGCAGCGGGCAGCTGTGGCTCAGGTTGGCAGTCGATCCTCCTTATCATCATCATCATCATCATCATCACCACCATCCTCCCCTTCATCATCATTCTAATTAATCTTATCATCATCATCATCCTCATTATCATCATCGCCTTCCTGCTCATCCTCCTCATCACCAAAAAATATCATCTTCTTCTTCATCATCATCATCACCCTCATCGTCTTCATTATCTGCTTCCTTATCATCATCCTCATCATCACCACCATCCTCCCCTTCATCATCATCTTCATCATTGTCATACTGCTCATCCTTGTCATCGTCACCAAAAAACATCACCTTCATCCTCCTCCTCCTCCTCATTATCGTCCTGATTATCATCACCATCATGACCACATCCTCCCCTTCATCATCCTCATTCTCATTTTGTGTCTTTTTTCTTGTCTTGCGTCATTTTGTGTCTAATTTCTTCCATTTTGTGTGTAAATTGTGTTGCTTTTGTCCTTCAGTGTCTCCTGTGTGTCGTTTTCTGTCTCTTCTTTGTCCTTCTGTGTCTCACTTTTCATTTTTTTGTCTCATTTGCGTCATTTCGTGTCTCGTTTTTGTGGTCATGTGTCTCTGTTTTTGTCCTTTTGCGGCTAATTTCTTTCATTTTGACTCTAAATTGTGTCACTTTTGTCCTTTCGTGTCTCCTGTGTGTCATTTTGTGTCTCATTCGGCTGCAGAGAAGCTCCAGATGTTCAGTTTAAACCCAGAACTCTGCAGTCGGAAGCTGTTCCTACGGCGGAGCATCACAGTGTGTGTTCGCTTCACAGTCTGGAGTCTTTAAATAGATGGATGGAGGGAAATGATCCGTAGAACGACCGTTGGATCAGTTTGCTCGTCGTATCGATCTGCGGCCGCCTGCTCAGGGATCAGAGGTCAAACTGTCCATCAGAAACCGTAGAAAACCTCCAGGAGGACCAGAGATGCTCCTCAGAGACGCTGCAGCTCCAACCAGATCCGTCCAGGGAGGCCCGGTTTCACCAGGACCCGTCGATCGGCGCGTTATTAATACCTGAGGCTCGGTCGCTGACTGCAGCGCCCCCTGGTGGAGGAGTTTCTGCAGCACGTTGGCCTGGACTGACCACAGATCTGATCACTGATTCTGATTATTGAAGCCTCTGAACAAACAGCAGCTTCTCACTGTTTCACTTTGAAGAATTTACTGTTAATTTACAGAAAATAGCTGCAAAAATCTCAGAAAGAAAGAAGAAAAAAATCTACAAAAACACTGTAAACGTTCAATTAAAATCTTATTTAAATGAGGAAAAATATCATGACTGCACATATTTGCTGTTATTTACCGCAAATCATCTGTACTATGGATTGAAAATGTCATTTTACCAATTTTATTTAATTAATACTAATATCTAATAAAATCACAGAATAAAGATTAATTTAAATGTTTTTAAAGAATTGACTGTCAATTTACAGAGGGTTTTTTTTGTTGTTGTTAAATTAAAGGTAATGGCTCCAAAAATCACTGAAAACTAGATTAACATTTACCTGACAACCACAACGTGTGACTGCTCAGTTAAAATCATATTTAAATCAGCAAAACATGTCATGATTGTACAAATATTTACTGTTATTTATTTTTACAAAAATATAAAAATATATGCATATTAAAGAGTTGAAAAATTTGCATCAAGAGCTGCAGAATCTTTTGCTTTTTACAGATTCTGCTAAATTTGAACAAGTTATTTTTGGTGAATTTTTAAATCGTCAGAATCTTACACGATGGAAACGTGCATCACATATGATGCATTCAAGGGCCGTGGGAAATGTTAAAATCTGAGGATCCTGTCAGGTTCTACAGTTTCTGGCTGATAACTGAGTCATTCTGGGGACTTTTCCAACCNGGTAGTTTTAGTCATTTATAATTAAATCAGTAAACTTACTCTGAGTCTGGGTGGTAGTTTTAGTCATTTATAATTAAATCAGTTAACTTACTCTGAGTCTGGGTGGTAGGTGAAACACTCTGGCAGGTAGAGGTCGACTAAATCCATGAGTGTCCTGCCAACATGCTCTGCAGACGAGAAGCTGCCGTCGGTCCGCTGCCTCCTGCAGAGTCTCGGTTCTGTTGTTCTGGTTCTGGTTCTGGATCCCGTGCTGGCTGAGGCGGATCAGAGCTTCATGGTCCTGCTGCTGCTGCTGTCTGACTCTGACTGAGGCTCTCCTCAGACTCTACATCTGAATGACTTCCCCCCCAGAGGGAAGAGCAGGCCGCCGATTGGCCGCCCTCTCGGCCAATGGGAGGCGGAGCTGCCGGGGCAGGTGGAGCAGACGGAGGCGGTCGAACAGGTTTTAACTGTTGGAAAGGCTTCACACGGCAAATATCTGGCTCTTCAATCTGTTTTACCAGCATTTGCATCTAGTTTTCATCACTTCATTCTTCCTGTCTTTGTGTTTTCTCTGATTCTCTGCAGCTCATAAATGATCAGTTTTATATCAGATGTCTTCGTCTCACAGCTTTTTAAATACGATTCTTATTGTTCTTTGCACATCTCAGGTTGTTTACATCACAAACTGTGTCATCTTGCACATCTTCAGCTGAACAATTTGCTTTCTAGTTTTAATTATTTTACTAATTATCAGCTCACGAGTCTGTCGTCCTGCTGCTTATATACATAAAATAAAAAGATATCTGACACTAAATGTGCATTAAACAAGATCAATCTGAGAAGTTTCTCATTAAACTACTGAATTAATTCCAACTACGAAATCTTTATTTAAAGTTTAATTCGTTTTTGTCAGAATCAGCCAAAGAAATCGTTGGTTTCTTGCAGTAAAATCATTCATCTCTGATCGGTTTTCAAGTAATAGATTACTTTAACTACAGTTTAAGTCATTTATTCAGCAAAACCTGCCAAATACTCTCTGGTTCCAGCTTATCGGAGGTTAAATGTCGCTGTAAATTGAGTATTTTTAGGTTTTACAGCCGTCACAGGATCAGATCTCTGCTTCAAAGTGCTGCTCTGAGACGGAATATAAAAAGATTTGGTGTCATACGAATAAAACCTAGTTAAAAGAAGATTATAAATGTGACATATGTGGGCTTTGTCATGTAATAGATTACTTTAACTACAGTTTAAGTCATTCATCAAGCAAAACCTGACGATTATTCACCCGTTCCGGCTTGTCAGAGGTGAAATACGTCGATATAATTTACATATCTGTGGATTTTTTTTACTAGGATTTAACAAAATACAAGATTTTTTTTTTACCTCACAGTTGTCGTGTCCTAAAGAATTCCCCACGACGACGTCCGTGAACGTCTCTGTTTGTGAAATGTTTATCAATTCAAACCACAATTTGGAAAGTTTTCTGAGCAAAAACAAACAGAAATCAGCGTCTGTGCAGCTTATCAGCGGGTTTCAATTAACGCTGAAGGTCAGTCAGATTAAAGAAACACAAGCAGCCGCTGGTTTCTGGCAGTTAAACCGTTCAGCGCCGACCGCTTTCACAATTTAGATGTTTTATAGGTTATAAAACGTGACCAGAGAGGAAGAAAGTTTAAAGTGAACCAGCCAGTGAGGACGGAAACTACGAGTTAATGATCAAATCAACTGTTTTAAATCATTATTATCCACCTGCTGTTAACATACGACAGGTGTAACGTTCTGCTCATGTTCATTTTTATGTTCTATTTCAGTTTCAGGCCAACAATCTCAGACTCTGACTGTTAATTTTAGTAGAATTAAAGGTGTTTATAAGAGTTTTCAACATGTTTTATTAAAAAAAAGTTGATTTAAATGTGATCTAAAGCATTTTTATAACTGAATGATTAAAAATCCAATCAAGAAACGAGTTAATGTTGATTAATAATCTTCAGCTGCAGCCCCTGAAAGACGTCTGACGTGAACTCGGAGCTGCAGGAACTCGTGAATCAGCGAACGCAGAAACACACTTGTGTGTTTTCCACCTTGGCCTCGACTGACTCGCCGCTGCGCTGCTCTTTTATCGGAGCTAATCAGCTGCTGGCCCGGAGCCCAACATGACGCTCTGCTCACCGGGAACACGTGCACACCAAACGAGAAGCCGTGCACGGAGCAAAGGAAACACAGCGCGGCGCAGGGAAACCTCCAGAGACTTGAAATGTAAACGGACGAACATCTGCAGCTGCTCGACGTCTCGGTGACGAAGCGAAGCCGGGACTCGGTAGAAACGATCCCGAGTTAATCCTGCGTCTGTAAGCGTGACTCCGCCGATCAATCGACCGATCGGTTCCTCCTGAGAGAGTGGAGAAGTTACAGTAAGGAGCTCAGCTCAGATGATCCTTATGCAACCTGCAGCAGCAGCAGCGACGTCCTGATCCACTTAACAGACGACAACACACGTGACCCGGCACTCTCGGGTCAACGCTAAGCCTCCGCAGACACACAAACACACATTACTGCACACACACAGATAAAAACCTGGAGGTAGCTCATCTCCAAACACGATTATACTTTACCTTTAAACGATGCTGCACCAGACCAGCTTCACATCAAACCTCAGTTCAGCTTCTGGTTGGACTCTGTTGCACCAAAACCATGATCCAGCAGCAAGAAGACCCGGTTCTCCATCGTCTACCTGAGATGGCATCCATTAAACTTCTAAGTCTGACTGATGTTGTCTCAGGTAGATGATGGAGTGGTGGGTTTTCTGAAGGTCTGTGCAGATGGAGTTATCTGTTTATGAACTCTTCAAACTTACACAAGAGGAAGTTTAACCGTCTGAACCACAAAACCTTAAAAAAACACCATCAGAAGTTCCCATTTATCAGCAA